ACCTACCTCAAACTTTTTGTTTATCGATATGACAGAATTGCAAATCCCGCATTTGACGTGTTCCTTGTCAACGAGAGAGACATTAAGCTAGAAATAATCAACCTGGACCGACTTCTTCCCAGAGTCTGAGTTAAAATGTTAATAAGCCTAGCAAGTCCTTTATAGTTAGATTCGCAAGAACAAACCTTTGAAAGCAGCTTCTATTGCAAATTTCACTACTTTCCAATTACTAGACTTACACTGCGGTATTACTAGTGTTCTCAAAGAAAACTGTAAACATAAATGATGTATTGACTTCTGCGGTATAGGGGAGTAATTCAAATCCTTTTCTGCTTATATTCATAAATCCACAGAGCATCTCTCAAAACCACGAGAGATTCACTTCATGTTCATTGCATTTGAAAAGCTATATCAAAAAATAAAATCCATCTGGTCGCCATCTGGATCAAAATCATTCATAATCTGTTAAGCAAAATACAAACAAGCAAGGGGAGTTAAGGGGGGAAGCGGCAAGTGGGTGAGAGGGGGGAAAGGGATGAACGGAATGGCGTATCTATTCCCTCCACAGCAAAAAAAAAGAACACAACTGTATATACACGCATCTTTCCGGGATAAATTGACTAGCTTGCGTGCGTTTTATATGAATGAAGTGCAATTAAAATGAATGTTTCAAATGATTGACAAAAATTAGTTTTTGATCTTGTAGCGGAAAGTCCTTTTCTGTAATCAGGCTTGAGTGGCCAATATGGTGACTTTTTTTCCCAGGTTTTATAATCAAATTACGCAGAAAGAAGCCACTGCGTAATTTGATTATACAACCTGGGAAATAAAAGGTCACCATTTAGGCCACTCAAGCCTGATTACAGACGTTCGATCAATTCCTTCACCCATATTTTTAGGCCAAGTCACGGAGAAAAGAATGAACGAACAGAAGTAAAATGAAACCAGATTCATGAAAGAAATTTCGCGCCAGTCATCGTTTCTCATTGGCATCAGCATTACTTTGTCATTTGAGAACAAAACTTTGAAGCGCAGCGTCGTTTCAGGAAAATGTTGCCTATACATAGCAGCAAAATGTGGAATTATAAGTAAAAACCCAAAACAACTGACTCTTCGTCCCATCTTTTCCAGCAGCTTCTTCCGCAACGCAACTTCGAGCTGAGCCATGTTCATTTCGGATGGATTAATGCGAATTTGGCTGACCTTACGAGGTGTTTTTCGGTATATCGATTGCTTCGCAAACCTAAAAGTAGCGATAGATCGATATGAATTATGACGTTTAAAATGGAAGGTTACTTGAATCCATTTTGTATGTTCTTCCTATCGGTTTCTAGCTTTGATTTCAAGTAATCGATATATGTCATATCACCAATCACCATGTCTGGTTCCAACATCTATAAATCATTCTGAGAAAGAAACGAATGTTTGAAATATGAAACAAAATCACCTCAGGATGTATTCTTGCGAGATGGCCAGTGAAGAGTGTCGCATACACCACCACCTCTCCACAGAGGCCACAAACGACGTTCTTTTCGTCAAGAAAGTTGAATTCGATGTCACATATGTCAATCGCAGCATAGGTGTCCTCAGGGGTCATGTCCACTATCTCGCCATTGGCATTCACTAATGCTTCCGTGCCTAAAAGGTCCAAAGAGTGGCGATGATCTACGGCTAACAGAAAAAATCATTAGAAATATGATCAAAAACTGGAGGATTGCACCGTAGAGATAAATTTATAAAGACTACAGTTATAAAGGCACTAACCATCATCCATGACTGCTAATTGCACTTCTTGTTCAGTACCATTTGGTGTATGAACTCTATAGATTTCACCAACTACATAATGCATCTGTAAATGAATACTTTAGGAAGTTATTAATTGGAAAAGCAACTTTTCATTCGCGCTTACTGGCTTTGGATTTTCTTTGTTTACGACACCATCAGCCATAAGTGTTGGAGGCATGTCTACTCCAGCTTTATATTCACATTGTGGCGATCCAATAATGGGTCCATCCAGTACAGGTGGTTCGATTTCACTGGCAGAATCCTCAGCAAAATTGCTTTCATTGTTCATCTCAAAAGTATTCGCAGGTTCTTGAGAAGCAGATGATTCCTTCCCCATCTGCGTTGACTTGGCCGCCAAACTAATACCACGCTTCTGTGTAATGACAGAGGGATGTGCATCAAGCACAGGAATCTGAGAACTGGTCCTGGGTAAAGAAGCTTCCGTCTTGAACGGTTTACTTCCCAACAAAGCATCGTTAGACAGTTGTTGATCAATGAATGCAGTGGAATGCTCGATGTTCTGCACCTGCTGTGGGATTGACAAAACGCTAACTTCAACCGAAGCCTCTGTAACTCCCCGTGAAGCAAACTTCACATTCAAAAATACTTCGCTGATAGTATCTCCCGAATCAAATGGCTGTATATCTACGAGATCGTTTTCCATATCGTCATCCACCACTGCAGTGTCACTTCTTAATTCAGCAACTCTATCAAGCGGTTTGTATTCACTCCTCAGACTTCCCTGAAACGAAGGCACATAAGTGAAGATATAAGTAGAAGGGAGAAACAGTTGAACAGTCCAAATTCATTCGGGCTATATTGCTTATTTATCAGAACACGCACTATACTGAGAGTCCCTTATGTTCTCATATGTCAACAAGACTCTATCTTAGGCAAAGATAACAACATACCAGGCCCGAAAATGATATATAAGTTATGGAGAGAATGGGAAAAGGAGAGCGCAAAGAGAGTGGACTGTTGCAGCGCCGCTGGATGCAACTGTGATCTTAGATAAATAGTTATGAACATTAAATCTAGCTGACTAATAAACCCAAAAAGTGAAAAAAA